AAAAACTCAGTTTATTATCTCAAAAATATTTAACTGCTTAAAAAAAACAAAAATAATTTTTATCGATTTTTCGACTGGTTGGGACAATTTTGCAAAAAATTTCATTTCTGTCTGAAGAACTTTCTTAAACGCTTTATTTTCGATTTAATTTCGTGATTTTTTTGTCTTGTTTCGATAGTCTTATTCAAAATTTCAGTTTTTGTTTTAAAAACATGCTAAAGCGTTTAAAAAGGCAAAAATAGTATGATTTTTGACATCCAAAATAGTTAAGGTACTTTTTACCCTAAACCTCCCAGTTTAGGACGTCCCTGATTAAAAATTTCGACATAAAGGTAATCAAATTTTGTAATTTTATCTAAAATGGTTTTTGAAACATTGGACAAAAGCCATTAAAACATGCACCCCTTTCAGGGGTATAGTATTTTTCAATACTTACCTTATTATTGAATATTCTATCACCTGTTTAATTTGTTTTTAAAAATATACTTTCATTAAAAAATTGTACTAAAAAGATAAAATATAACATATAACATTACGGCTATTGCACAATTAATTTCCCTCCAAAGCTTTTAAAATTAAAAAAAAAATGTTCTTTGACAGAAAAAAAATATTTTTTAATTTTTGGTACATTTTTAGTAAAAGCTAATTAAAAAAAAAACATTTTTGTGATATTAGGAGGACCCCTTGTACATGTCTTATGCTGAAATCATTGCTAAATCATGTGGAGAAGAAGAGGAAGAAGGCGAAGAAGAGGAAAGTGGTGAAGGTGAAGAAGGAGGCGCCTCAATTCATGTGAGTTTTTTTGGTACAACAAAAACACTTTTTGAATGAGTAGTTTAATTTGTGATTTATTTAATTTTTCAAAACATTCAGAGGACAATGAATAAACTAATGGTAAGATTCGTGGTCACCAATTTGACATTTTTTTTTCGATAAAAACGTTTTTAATTAATTATAACTTTGTAATAGGAGCAAGAAATGGAGAAACAGAAACTCCTTTTCAATCAAGCAAGATTAGCCAAACGTGGGGTAGCAGAAATGGTCCTTTTGCACATTTCTGCTTGCAAAGGTGTTCCCTCTGAAATGGTAATGAAAACACTCGAATTGGGCATTTCGATTCTTCGTGGTGGTAATTTTGACATCCAAATGGGAATGTTAAACCATTTGAAAGAGAAGAAAGATGTGGGATTCTTCACTAGTATTGCTGGATTGATGAACAGTTGTAGTGTTTTGGATTTGGACGCGTTTGAGCGAAACACCAAAGCTGAAGGTCTTGGTGTTGGATCAGAAGGTAACTTAATTTTAGTGCGAATTAAATTCAACTAAAAAATTGAAGGTGCTGCTGGTGAGAAAAACATGCACGATGCGGAATTCACATGTGCCTTATTCAGGTTTATTCAATTGACGTGTGAAGGCCACAATTTAGGTATACAAAATAATATAAAATTTTTGTTCTAATTCATTTTTTAGAGTGGCAAAATTACTTACGTACCCAAGCTGGTAATACCACAACTGTAAACGTGGTTATTTGCACAGTAGATTACTTGTTACGTCTCCAGGAATCAATAATGGACTTTTATTGGCATTACTCAAGCAAAGATTTGATTGACCCTGCCGGTAAAGCAAACTTTTTTAAAGCTATTGGAGTTGCTAGTCAAGTTTTCAACACACTTACTGAAGTCATTCAAGGGCCGTGTACTCTCAATCAACAAGCCTTGGCTCATTCTAGGTAAGAATTTTCAGGGATTGCAAATTTTTCAGTGTTATTTTTAGGTTGTGGGACGCTGTTGGTGGTTTCCTCTTCCTCTTCTCCCACATGCAAGACAAACTATCCAAACATTCAAGTCAAGTCGACTTGTTGAAGGAGTTGTTGAATTTGCAAAAAGACATGATTACCATGATGTTGTCAATGCTTGAAGGTAACGTTGTTAATGGTACTATTGGTAAGCAAATGGTGGACACGTTGGTTGAAAGTGCTTCAAACGTTGAACTTATCCTTAAATATTTCGACATGTTTTTGAAGTTGAAGGATTTGACTTCGTCACCTAGTTTCCAAGAGATTGACATTAACAATGATGGTTGGGTTTCCCCCAAAGACTTTAAAGAGAAGATGGAGCAACAAAAAAGCTACACTTCGTATGTCCTCTCGCTTTTCGTAACTTATAATTATAAATATATATTTTAGTGAGGAAATTGACTTTTTATTGGCTTGTTGTGAAGTTAACCATGATGGTAAAGTCGACTATATTGGTTTCATTGACCGGTTTCACGAACCAGCCAAAGAAATTGGTTTTAATTTAGCTGTTTTGTTGACAAATTTGTCAGAACATATGCCGAATGAACCAAGATTGGCCAGGTTTTTGGAAACTGCCGGGTCTGTGTTGAATTATTTCGAACCGTTCTTGGGCCGAATTGAGATCTTAGGTGGCAGTAAACGTATAGAAAGGGTGTATTTTGAAATTAAGGAGTCCAATATCGAACAGTGGGAAAAGCCGCAAATTAAGGTGAGAAATGAAAATTTTTTAACTATGTGAGAAAATTGCCAATGAATACTAAAATTCCACTTTTTTGCTTTTTTTTACTTAAAATTTCAGTTTTTTTCACACATATTGTAAAAAGATGGAAAAACTTAGAAGATTTTTTTACCTTTGTCCATTTCTTAAGAATGACCCAAAATCATCGAAATAACTGTATTTTTTTTCTATTGTTATCTTTTTTAACTCATTCTGTATATTTAGTCTCACTTCTCATTACAGATAAGTCAATAAAGTACCTAATACGTTTTTGAAATTTAATCAATTACAGGATGATTCAGAAAAAATATTTATTTTTGTGTCGCTGTAGTTACAAATTTTTTTTATTAATTTTTGTTTTTCAATTACTACATATCGCTGTTTTATTAATTAAAATTTGATGCAGAATGATTCATCAAGAAAAATTTTGTTTTCAAAGGGCCGAAAAATATGTGCAGCATTTTTCGAAATATTACTGAAATCCAATTTGAGATGATTTAACAAAATCAAAATGATTAAGCAAGCACATAAGACAATTTTTTCTACCGAAAATATCAAGACAATATGTATTTTTTATCAAGTGGAAAAAGTATCTAACAAAATTAAACACAAGACATTTTTAATATTGTCTCGATTATTGTTTTCATTAGAAAATGATTTTCTTTTAAATCAGTCCTCAAGCTTAAAATCGCAGGTTTTTTTTATAAAAAATACTCTATTTCATTTTGGGTATAAGTGGTTTAAAATACCTAGTTTTGAAGAATACGTAATTTTTGTGAAAAGAATTTTAAACAAAAAGTGACAAAAAGTCAACAATTAATGAATTCTAAAATACTTTTTTGCTTCTATTTCTTCTAACAATGGAATCACTGATTCTTTTACTGCAGAATTATTTTAGACACGCTATAGCCTGATTCTTTTTTCTATTCTTATAATTTAAGAGAAAAAAATCAAATATTATTCTCTTAGAGAGACCCAAAAACGTCAAACCAACTCAAACTTGTAAACGATATGCAAAATTCCACCGAAAAACATTAATTTTTCAT